ATGTCTGTTGTCTTGCTTCCTGTTTTCATTTCTGTATGTAATGCTAACCAGCAGAGGTTTGAATCATTCATAGCCTGCTTTCTCTACCTCAAAGCTGTAGATGTCATGGGAACAGTGACTGTAAGGTCTGGACTTTCTGTTTCTCTTCATTAAATCGATTTCTGGAAGCAGAAGGAGTAAGTATTCAGCCCCTGATCTTGGCCAAGCAAGGATCTCTGGACAGATGGTATCAGCGTGGTTCCTCTCGAGCAGCATCTTGCTTGCTGAGCTTCAGTCTCTTCCTACATCTCCTGTTACTGCTCGGGTGTCTGTGTGTGTGGTGGGGAGGATGAGTGCTGTGTTTTGTGCTTTCCTTTCTGTTGTGGGCTTCCGTGCATCGGCTCATGATAATTTGTGGAGAAGAGAGGGATGATTTTAGACTCGTAGGTTGTGTGCTGTGCAATTCAACTGTATTTATGAATGTTTTTTCTTGCTTTTAAAACTCATGTTGCATTTCTTCTCTTTGTGCTTCTCCTCACTGCTTTTATGGAGAGCAGCCTACCACAGGCTACCATGGCATTTGCCTGTGGCTCGGGTTTAGCAAGAGGACTCAGAGGTGACTTATGGAGCCTTTTTAGCTGTATTTTCCCTCGCCTGTAACTTTTATCCTCTTGGTTGTTTTTAGTGGATTCTGCTGCTCTTAAAACCTTCCAGCAGTGCCTTCTGATGATGGTGTTGGTGGACAGGTGTGCTTTTGGGTTGCCCTTTTGTACTGAAAACACTTGTCCCTCCTGAGCTCTGTCAGGAGACTGGGAGAAGCTGGATTAAATGCTGCTGTGGGAGGTTGGTAGAAGCTACTTAAGAACTGGACCATAAGCTCAAAGTTTTTGCATCTACCCTGGCTGTTGGTGTTCCTGGTAGGATTTTCTTCAGGGAGAAGTGGCGTTTGCTGGTCCCTTTCCATCTCTGAAGTGTACTTTCCTAAAGCAACACTGTTTGAAAAGGCTCTGGTGCCTCCACCTTCTCTAGTTGTGCAGCCAAGTTCATGCCTTTAACTGATAGCTTTGGATACGCAGCTGTGAGAGGGAGGGCTTTATCTTGAACAGGTTGAATTCGGGATCCTGATACATAGCCCTGAGATGATAACTCTTTTTATACTTGCTAACCTGTGGTCCTTGCACAAACTGACCCTTTTTGCTTTCCAGCCTTCTCAGTTGCCTCCTGAGTTGTGCTGTGAAGTTTTAACTTGGGACTTAATGATAAGTGTTTGAGCTTCAACTTCATTAGTGGAATGATGGATCTATAACACAAGTTTTATATTTCCCAAAGAACAGCCTCTGTTCCCAGGCTCTTGTTACTTCAGATAAACTGGATTTCTCTCCGAAAAGTCAGAGTTTTCCAGCTTTGACTTTGTATGTGTGTGGCTGGTGTACAGCACCACTTCTCCAGGTGTCTGAGCTGGAGAATAGCAGCTTGAGGCTTCCCAGAAGACTGATGAAATGCCCGACTGTGACACTTGTGTTTGAATTTGCAATGCAATTCTTGTAAGCTAGCAAATAAATAAATGGTGAAACCTTTTAAAGATAGTGATAGTCTATCTGCCCTCTTGCCTTGCATAACTAATGCAGGAAGAGGTGGAAATCATCCCTGCCCATGGCAGGGGTTGGACTGGATGATTTTTAAGGTCCCTTCTAACACAAATCACTTTGTGAGTCTATGAAATCAGGAGAGATGCTGTCCTTTGGAGAAAATTCATGAAGGATTTCTTGTAATGACTGTAGCCTGCTAGGTTTTCAGGATGGTAATATGGGGCTTGGCAGTGGAGTTGTTAACAGGCTGTGCATAATTTTTGTGTCCTGCTTATGTCCCACAGCATCTTGTATGTCACTTGCTGCTTAGGATCTTCAGGGCAGGGATTATGGTGTTGTTCTAGACCCTTAAATAGCATCTAATTTCACATGTGTTCAGCATTTGTGTTCTATTCTCACTGACAGTTGTTTCTGCTGGTGCATGGGGAAGACAAACCAGGAAACTCATTTTGTAGGGACAGTCTCGAAGCAGACAAACTGAAGATAGGAGGCAAGTTGTGCAGCGACTAACACTGAGCTTTATAAATAGCATGAGAGAGGATGGGATGCAGGCAGGGAGGTGACCTCAAGCACGAGGCCATGGAGGTGGTACAGCAGCGCTTAGGGGCAGATGAGCTGTCAGAGCACGGTGGGTCACAGTCAGCAAATAGCTTTTGTTTCAAATGTGTTTGTGTCCTGCATGTCCTCCCTGAGGGGATGAACAAAACCACATGGGGGTCTAGGCCAGCTACAAACTGGTAAGCAAGTTCTGCACATCTCATGTTCTCTGTCTGGGTCAGTGCCTTGAGCAGTGCCCAGAGCGTTATGGAGAGGTGTGCTGAAAGGACAAAGCTACCTTTTGTGTGGCTGTGTAAGAGGAAGGCAAAGGACCTATGGGCTGCGGGCTCTGGAGGAAGCATGGTAGCAATCTGGTGGGCTTTGAAACCACAGCAACCAATGAGCAAGATCTGTCTGCCTCCTGGGTGCTGAGTCCTGATTAGCAAAAGCCAGGACAGGGCTGTCCTAAGCTGTTAGCTTGAAGCACAGAGCGTAAATGGACACAAAGAAGGACAGATGCTGGAAGGGTTGAGCTGTGTCCTTGATGACGCTTCTAGACTCTGCCACAGTGTTTGCAATACCTGAGGCATCCTCTTATGCACTAGCTATAATGAAAAATATGGTCAACTCTATTCTTGGAGGCTTTCTTCCATGAGATATGGCAATGAAAGACTTTTAGGTGGCTAGGTTATCTCCTTAAGCCCTGTCACACTTTCCTGATGCAGTAGGGATGGTGAAGACAGGCTGAGAGAGTTGGGGCTGTTCAGCCTGGAAAAGAGAAGACTTCGGGGGACTGTTATAGCGACCTTCCAATACCTGAAAGGTGCCTATAAGAAAGCTGGGGAAGAGCTGTTCACTAGGGCATGTAGCGATAGGGTGAGGGGGCATGGTTTTAAACTAGAAAAAGTTAGATTTAGGTTGGATATTAGGAAAGAGCTCTTCAATATGAGGGTGGTATATCACTGGCACAGGTTGCCCAAAGAGGTGGTGGAGGCCTCATCCCTGGAGTTATTCAAGGTCAGGCTTGATGGGGCTCTGAGCAACCTGACCTGGTAACATTGTCCCTCCTCACTGCAGGGGGGGAGGATCAGATGATCTTTAAAGGTCCCTTTCAACCCAATACATTCTATGATTCTATAGTGCTACCTGTAGCTGTCATAGCTTTTTTGCAGGACCTGAGCACTGGGGATCCTGTATATACAGAAATGTAGTGTTTTCCCTAGAGAAGGTGTGATTTCTGTACTGCCCATGTACATGCATACTATGAAAAGGTAGTCAAGTACTTTGCAAGCTTAACTAGTGTTGAGCATCACTCATATAGTGCACCAACTATCCACACAACAGCAATGTTTGGGGCTGTAGGTGTATACTTGTGTGCCAGGAACCTGTGGAAAACCCCTGGTAGGAGTTAAGTACAGCTGAGAGCAGCGTGACCCCATGTTATGGTTTAAGGGTTACCAGCCTGAAAGGGAAGGACAGGTGGTGTCTGTAGGACCCTGGAGGGTCAGAGATCAGTACTGTTCTCTCCCCTTTCCGGCCATAGTCTATAAAAAACCGAGGTTTTCGCGGGCTTTTCCTGGCTTTCCTGGGCTGCTTCCTGTCGCATCTCGGGACGGCTGGGCCTAGCTCCACGTGCTTGCAGCATCCACCACCATCCGCTCCCGGCACCACTGTGGTGCCTGGTGACGAGTCACAGCAGTCACAGCGGCCACGAGGCACTGTTTGGACATTTCCATTCGGGACTTCTGGGATCGGGTTTTGTATATAAATATCCTTTGTCCCTTATTAATTATCTTTTCCTTTCGCCTGTTGTTTTCATTAGACTTGTTACAGTCTTAACTTCCAACCTTGTGAGGAGCATTTTTTTTTATTATTCTCTCTATTCCCTTTTTCTTAATTCTCCCCCTGGGAGGGGGTAGGGGCAATAGAGAGAAAATCCTGCTCTCTCTCTCTCTGACCCTTAAACGGAGACACCCCACCAGACTGGCAAATATTTGCTTTGAGGTTCCTCTCACTGAACACTGATTCTATGAATTAGTAAGAGCATACGATTACTTGGTTTATTCTTGATATGAATCTCACCAGAGACAAAAATGAGCATGTAAATATATATATATATCCCTGTGACGCACAAAGCATGTAATCGATGGAGCAGATTACTTTCCCTGAAAACAGTGACATTCCCACGCATGACAAATAGAGCAGTTGCATCAGAGTCAGCCTGGTGTTTTGGAAGTGACTGTTGGGTGAAGAGGAGATCTTTCTCCTGGGTGAGGGCTGCAACCAGCCCTGCATTCCTGTGAGTGCTTGTTGGAGATGTATATGAAGGGAGAGGGCAATATCTGCCTTTTGCAGCATGCATAGAACTGTTAAGTTATTGTCTGGGGCTGTTTTGCAGACTTCATAGGTTACTCAAGATAAACTAATTTAATTTGGCTGGGTTTCAATTTTGCAGAGGTCTCTGAATCAATTTTAAAGTTGTACTTGCAGAGGGTATGATTCTTTGTTTCAGTCATTCATAAAAAAATCTAATAATCTGAGCTCCCAATAATATTGTCCTTGTGTGGCTTTTCTTTCTGATAACTCCTGTGAATACATTTGCTTTTAGTGGTGTGGGAGAAACTGCACAAGGAAATAAAACTTGCAAACTAATTAAACTTCTTGGTCTTGTTGAGTAACAAGCCGGAGATGTTGGCAGGGCTGGGAATAGATATGACTATCATTCCTCCTCTCAATAGCCAGAGGACATGGTTAATTATTAAATTGCTTGTTAATGTATTGAAATATTGCTTGGTGTTTTTAATTTATCTTATTTTTCTTTTCTCCTCTTGCTGAAGGGTACTCCCAGGACCTGATGGATTTCTGATACCCCGCTCCTGAGGGGCTGGAAGGAGCATGGTTAAACACCAACCACTGCAGTACTATGAGCCGCAGCTATGTTTGTCCTGTCTGACGGGGATCTATGGCTGCCGCTGGAAACGGTACCAGCGGTCACATGATGACACTACCAAGGTGGGTAGTTGACCTCTTCACCTTTTCCCAGTGACTTTGGATTGCGGATGAGTGTGGGTCTTGGTTGAAAGTGCTAGGTTTGGGTTTTGGTTTTTTTTTTTTTGTTGGCTTGGGTAAACCATGGAAACTAGTGGCTCTATAGCCTGGAGGTCTGTGAGAAGTCCTCACTATGTGGTTGATGTAGCAGATAGGCATGGTTAGCTGGTCATGGTGCCCAAAGGGATTGAGTGGAATGGCTCTGGCCAAATCTGTCTGTATCTTCCATTTGGTACTGCAGCAGACTTCTGTTTTGCTCTTTGCTTATTGATGTGCTTGTGATTCTTTGGTTGAATCTGTAGGAACTACATTTCTGTGTCGTCTCTAGCTTCTGTGTGTGCGTGTGAAAATAAATTTGTAAGGAATTGGAGCAGGAGGTGAGAACTCACTGGGGATAAAAGGGGGAACTGCTAGAGGATACTTTTCCCACCTCTGGATAAATACAGTTTTTAGGAGCAGTGGCAGAGGGAATCTAGGCAGTGGGGTTGGACTGATGCCTTTCTGGTCATCTAAGGCTACAAGATGGGGGTCTCGAGAGACCTGATGTGTTTATAGGAAGAAATGTGGAAAAAAAAAAGCCAAGCCTGCTGTAAAAGCTGCCTTTTGCATCTTCTGGGTATTGGTTGTTGTGTGCTACTGTTTTTCTATGTTCTCACGTTGTCCAGGATATTTTTTAGTGTGCTTATTACTTAAAGAAAACAAAACGAAACAAAACAACAAACCCAACCAATAAACCAAAACCTAAATCTCGTTTCTCCTGGCAATGATCCCAGGAGACTCTTTGGTTGCTTTTCAAAGCCATTTTGCTCTGATGACAGTTAGCGCCTCTGTTTTGTTTTTAAGTCTTTAACCAGGGATCTTCCTGGCTGTGGAGTGCTTCTGCTCTGGAAAAGGCTGTTAAAGGAGCAAACACTTCTAGATGGCAGTTCCCATGCCAAAAATGCTCCTGGTTCTGAATTGCATCGATTGTTAGTGATGCAGCTTGGCCGGAGCTCCCCGGTGAATTGAGAAGTCACGGCTTGCATTTGTGCAGAGTAAAACAAATTTCCTTTTGCAAAGGAGAAATGTTTGTGCTGTTTTCCCTCTTCTTTCAATCTGGCCAGATTTTCTTTGAGCAAATACTCGGGCACATCCGTAGCAGAGGGTGTACTTGGGTTTTTAAGACTTTGTCGGGAAAACAGTGGGATGTAATGTCTTGGCATGTGTGCATGTACTCACTTAAATACTTAAAATGCCTTATTCTGTATGCCTTATGAACCATAACATCTGGCTTCTTAGCTAAAAATCCACAGAAAAATTGCTGTTGACTTAATTTTTTTCAGTGAAAGCTGGCTCTGCTTGCACTGATTATTTTACCAAAAAATACCAGTGACAGCCTTCCAATTCTACTTGGAATTTCAATTGCTTTTCTAGTGCTAGAATGGCTTAAAAATGTCTTCAGTCTCTGATTTGGTTTTATTAAGGCCTCAAATTCCACTTTGTTGAACAGAGAAATGGAGATAACTTTGTTCTTGCAGGAACAAGAGAAGAAAGTGTAAAATTAGCTACAGGCTATGCAAAACCAAGATATGAAGAATCTGCTCCCGTCTTGCTGTCAATTAAGTTCCTTGCAGTTGTCAGTGCTGGGATGCGCAATTGTTGCACTGTATTTGGAGGGGGAAAATGCAAATGAAGGCAAATCATCCTCTCTTGGACAGGTCTCTCTCCATGTGCTTGAGTACTGTAGGAAATGGGTGGGAACTCTAGGATATGTGTAAGAAATGAGAAACCTGTTTAGTTACAGAATAGTCCTGTGGGCTGCAAACCAGTAAGAAAACAAGGGAGAGACTTTTTACAAGGGTATGGAGTGATAGAATGAGGGAGAATGGCTTTAAACTGAAAGAAGGGAGATTTAGGTTAGGTATTACAAAGAAATTCTTTACTGTGAGGGTGGTGAGACACTGGCACAGGTTGCCCAGAGAAGCTGTGGATGCCCCCTCGCTGACAGTGTTCAAGGCCAGGTTGGATGGGGCTTTGAGCAGCCTGGGCTGGTGGGAGGTGTCCCTGCCCATGGCAGGGGTTGGACTGGATGAGCTTTGAGGTCCCTTCCAACCCGAACCTTTCTGTAATACTATGATTAGTGTCCCTCCACTTCTCCGGATCAGATGGTATCACTCAAATTCGGGAGCGCTTGTACTGCAAGCTCAACTCTCTGCAGTTGAGTGAAGCTCTGAAGCAGGGATGGACCTACCCTAAAATAAAGGGTACTCCCATCATTGGAGTTTAGTGATCTCTGGTCTGTGCAAGATGACTTTTGGGGTGGGTGGGCAAAACTTGCCAAGATCCCAAGGCAGTGGATGGGGTTAGGAAGTTTTATGTATGCTATTTGTCTCCAGCTGATCTATATCCAGCCATAACATTTAGGTGTCTCTGTAAGGAATTAGTCAGGAAAATACCATACCATAACTTGTGTCTCTATTTGCCTTACACAAAGGCAGAGGCATATTGATAATAATACCTATTGTATTGCTTGGTATGTGACCCTATAGTAACTCAACCACTACAAGCTGAGAGTAGAGGAGGCAATTATAATACAATACATATTTTCCTGAGCATGGCTTCTATAAAAGGGGTGTGGTATACTTAAGAGGTCTTAAACCTTGCAAAAATCTAGACCTACCTGGAAAGGAAGGAATAGTGTATGCACATGTTATGTTTATACTCTGGGATTATCAGAAAGCAAGGCACATATTCAAAGAGTAACTTTTTTTAGCATAGGCTGTATCATGGTTATCAAACTTTCTAGAATAAAAGGCCTTCACCTAAATTTGGATTACAACCCAACCTCTTGTCCTTAAAATGTTCTGCAGATGACTGAATATTTGTTTTCTGAATTGTGCTGTAGCTTCACAGCCAGAGTTTTAATGATTCCTTTCCTTTTCCCACAAATGTATGCAGATCAGACTTGCTACTGCACGTTAAAAATTTACATGAAAATGAGAGCTTTAATTGTAAGCTTGCATTCTAAGTTTTTTTGGGAGACTGCTTGCTAGAATTGTAATTATCTCTTGCTTTCCTCTGACCTTTTGAGAATGGAGGGGGGGGAGTGGGCTGAAGGCACCCAACCTGTACACTTGGTCTCCTTTTTGAAACTTCGAACAGCTGCAAAATTCCTTTTTTCTATTGTGCGCCTTCTGCTTTAATGGCAAGATTCTCTTTCACATTTTTTTAAATTTTTAATGTTTTTTTTAATGATGGGCATATAAAAGAGAAGAGATGGTCTTGCTGAGATTCATACTATTATAATCTCTGTAGCTGGTGTGAGAAGGCAATTTCTGATCGAACTACAGCGTGTTCATCAGGTATTCAACCGAGGAGGTTCTTACGAAGTCAGTGCATCATCTTAACAGGGCTTCATTGCCCTGAACACAGAAACTGGGGTAAATAAACTTTACCTTGTAGTTGCCAGATGTGCTTTTAAAGGTCTGAAGTTCAGATGACACCTTCCAAGGTAGCTCCCAGATACCAAGGATCCTGCTGATAGATTATCAGGGATTAAATGCAGAGAGAGCAGCACTTCTAATTGCAGTGGATAAACAGAGTGCTTTGCGCATAGCTTGTGTGCTTCACCTGAAATGAACTGCTGCAGGGTATTGCAACACCAGAACAGCCTTTGCTCCTGCAGTAGAGTCCAGGGCTGGCTGCAACATCTTTTAAAATCCATCTAGAGATGCTGCAGGATCAGTATTCATGTGGGAGATGTTGGTGGGTTGCACTGTATAAACATGAGGTTAAAATCTATCAACTGGTTTTGTTCATTTTTTATTGCTTCCTAAGCCATGTTGTCTGTACACAGCTAATATCACACCTGGGAAATCATCCTAGGTGGGAGTGGGGGAAGAGATATTCTGCAGAAGAAAATTGCAGTGATATATTTTTTTAAAAATCTACAATATACAAAAGAGACAACTTTCATTTGCTGTCTGGTTTCTTTTTCACCCCCCGTTACTGTGTATTGGAAAATCTTAGAATCTTCATTTTATTAATCTTATTTAGTTCCCTGTCAAATAGGATAAAATACTATCATCATTTACAGAGGGCTTTGGCTTCTCTGCCTAGCAACAGAGATGCCGTACTTTCCAACCATGAACCCTTCTGAGATGCAAGGTGAGGCAGACAAAATGTAGCTGGGAACTGTTCTTATCTCCCCCATTTCCCTTGGAAGCTTTCCTTCTAATAAACCGCATCCTTGTTAAGAACCTGGAAAGATGATGAATCTGGAGCTAATGAGACCCAAGCTCAGGAATGGATTTCTTTGAAAGCTTTGGGGGTAACAAGGACTGATGGCCAATGAAACATGGGTTTGCAGGGTTGAATTTTGGGTATAACATTAAGGGTTTTTTGACCTAAAAATACAACTTGTTGATAATTCAGTGTGAAAAACAGAACAAAACTGAAATCATGCTCATTATTTTTCAGCATGGCTACATAGGGCTGATGTTTATATGAACATAGCCTGTTTAAAGCCCTTGCACTTGCCTTCCTACCTTAGGAACTGTTTTAACCCCTCTGTCTCCAAGAAACCTCATGTTTTTAAATCTTTTTTTTGTTGTTGTTGTTGGTTTTTTTGCACATCCAAGGCATTGCCCTCTTCCTTTCTCAGAGATCTCCATTAGTTGCTGATGGGAGCAGCACAGGGACCTGGTCCAAGAGGTTGAAATGCAGGTTGCTTCTACCCATGAGCTTCTGGTGTTGGGAGTGCTACTCCTCCAGCCCTTCCACCATGACTGTATTTAGACTCCATATTTATGTGCCAGCAAGTATCCTGGCTTATTTTTATTATTTTTCTATCCCCTTCCCAAACATGTGTCCTTGCAGATCTTCTTTTCCCTACCTGGTACATGGCTCCTCTGGTCCTTCCAGTAGCTGCTGCAACCTTTCCCTTTCTGCTTCCATCCTCTTCTGCCAGTAATATTCAGTAGCTG